GAAGAATCTAGTGACATAAAACTTGCCTGTGGACTGAAGTTTTACTCAATTAGATCCTAACCGAAAAATTTTATTTATGATGAAACAATTTATCAAATGAGTTGAAGAATCAAATGATATAAAACTTACTTGTAGGCTAAAGTTCTATTCAATAAGATTCATTGCTATCATTATGATAAAAAACTTAAGAGATCATGTTCCTTTTCTTAATCCCTGTGGGCAAATTAAGAAATATGATCTAAAGTTTACATCATAAAATTAAACTTCATGATAGAACTGAAAATTATTTACAAATAACCATAAAGTAAATAAATAAATTTATTTCTATCATCATTGATAAAACTATTAAACTACATTCCGATACATAATTGCCTGTGGGCTAAATTATGACCGTAGTCCAGTATTTCATCCTGATTAATCATACAAATATAACGAAATTGCCTGTGGGATAAATTTCATCATATTACATACAATTAATCACAAATGATATGTCCAAAACTTTATGTGATCAAAATAAACCGCTTAATATATATTTTAACAGATTGAGGATGCTGTGGCTACTCCAAAATCAAATTAAAATTATAAGATCACTAGACAATTATCAATTCTTGCCTAAACTTTATGTGATTAAAACTTAATAATCTTAAGTAGCTGAATATGTTGTAGCTATTCCTTAATTAACCAATATTGAAAACTTAAGAGACTTCAGTAAATTAAAGATGTTTTGGCTATTCTTTAATGAACCGAAATCAAATCACATTGGCAAGGAATACTTAAAATTTTGACAAACAGATTATACCAGATTGTGATGGGAAAATGTAAATATACTCCAAGGAAAGGTGGTTAGAGACTAAGTCTCACTGAAAACCAATTCCTTAAATAGAGTATCAATTTAAGGAGACTAGTGGCTCAAAATGTTCTTAAGTCATGACCATTAAAACTAGTATGTCTCACCAATTCATATATACTTAATGTATAACTGTTTGGGGTATAAACCAGTAAACTGTATGGTATACACCAGAAAACTGTAGGGTTCACCTATGATTAAAGCTTAAACAGTGAACTAAATTAGCGGACTAAATGTGCTTAAATTCAGGCACTACCGCGACTAAAGTTTATGCATAAGTCCAACTTAAATAGGAACTAATATAATTCCATCTCAAAGAATGCATTGTTAAAGGCATAATAATATTGCATAATTTAAAACATAATATTATGCTTAGGACGAACATGCACAAAAATTAAACATTAAACTTATATATTCCAAATAAATTGCATAACTTAAAGCAATTTACAATATGAGATTTTAAAGTATAAACTTAATATTCAAACACCGATGAATCCAAACCAAAAGAGACCCAACATTTTGAATAATAATGTACTGAATATATACTTTAAAATTTTTTAAACTGTAAGCCCATGGTAAAATGTTTTAATGCATAAAGATCAAATTCATGAGAAATAACTGAATTTACAAATTCAAACAATATCAAACCAAAAGGATATGCTAGCATTTGTAAATTAAAATCTCACAAACCCCAATTGCATAATTAAACTTAATATTATGCACTTAATGTGATCGAATGCATAAAACAATCTAGAAAGTATGAACCAACTAAAGAAGATGAATTTATACCAAATATTCATACTTAACCAAACAAGAGCAATCAGAACTAAAATCATATTCAAATAACTAAATGAATTATGTAATTAATGGCAAAAGTTAATTGCCTAGAAAATATGATTTTCCAAGATTATTAAATTGATTCAAAATCACTCTCCATAACCCAGATAATAATATTACTATTATGAATGGCAAAATTGCAAATAACCAAAATAGCAATAATATTATCACATTATTTAGGAGACTAAATATGGAAAAAAAAAAACAATGATTAAAACCGCTAACATTAATAAACGTTTTCGGATAAAATTTTGAAAACTTAATAAAATTTGAAGTCCGAAAAACATTAATGTCAAGAAAAATTATTTTCTGCACTGGAATATTGTCACATAAATTTATTTGGAAACAGTTCAAGGTACATAGCTGAATACCATAACAATATTAATGTCATCATTAATTAATTATTAATAGTAATAGGTAACATTATAATCACTACTAACATTAATAATAACGACAAACTGAAGTATGGTAATGCACCTTTAAATGTTTCTATTTTTCTAAAGAATAAAATATGTGACTAATCCAAATTAGCGATTAACTGTAACTGTAGCACTAATTATCAATAATAAGCATAAAAGATAATTAATGGCTAACCTTAATGATACAAACCGCATCTGCCCATTGCGCTAACAACGATGACGATCCACAAGAGAAGAAAAGACTCCAGAATTCTCCCAATCTTCACTATCGGTGTCAATAAACTCGATGCAGCGTCCAATGGTACGTTAAAAAATTTATTGGTAGGACTTAATTACCAACATTAATAGTCATGTAAAATGAAGTGGTAATCATACCAATGTACCAAATATAGCAGATTACCATTAAATGATAATTATTATGAAAAGTAATAAAATGAGATTAGCCCCTAAACTTAATAACAGTAATTAATAATGCTAATTAATAATAATTACAATAAAGGCAAAACTGTAATTAAGGGATGCCAAATACTAATCTCAATTTACCACATAATAATTAACCATGACTATTATGATACTTGGGGAGACTGAAGTTAAGGTAATAACCAAATTTACCATTATAAGAGAACATACCAACTATATTGCTTTTGCCACAAAATCAAAGACTTAATATTATTATTAAGGCCCTGAAACTATTGATAGATTAAAAATTAATCAACTTAAACAATAGTAATAGTTCTTAATGGCCAAAATAACAATTAAATCCTTAATGTCTCTAAACAGGCCAAAACAATAATTATAGCACTTAATCACTCAAATTAGGCACATAAACCTCAATGACCCAAGTGAATTATAACATGAATAAAAAATGGTCTAAGTACTGAAATAAACCCAAAACTTAATATTATTACCAACGATGAATACCAAAATATGGTAGTTAGTAATAATTAAAACTTAATAAACATATTATAAAAAGAGCTACAATTATTATTTAAATATCAATCAAAATAATGGGATCCATACTTTAATGACCCAAGATAGGTCCCAAATAGCTTGTTCAAAAATAGGTTCTAAAGTCCCAAAGACACATAAAACTAGAATGTGCTCAAAAATTAAGGGAAAACCAAAACAAGCTACTTTAGTAGGTCATAATATCTAAAATTGACCTAAGGATCCAAAATTGAATGATATCTAAAAATGAATTTATGAGTTAATAATATGCTAAATCCAACCTTAATGCATGCTATTATGAATGTATAACAATAACAATAATTTATGAATATATGTAGCATGCTTGAATTTGCATATTAATATATTATTAACCCATATATCTTAAATAAATTGCAATACTTAAAGCAATTTAATATAAACATCAACATTAAATTAAAATTCAAATAGAGCTAGTAGCATTCAAAAAAAAAAAATTAAAATTCAAATAGCAACTTTAAAACTTAATATTTGCCCAAAAAATGAATAATAATTTAATTATGAATTTAATGCCAGAATTAAGAAGAAACTGCATTAATATTCCAAAACAAGCAATTACCATACTTTAATTTTACCATTTGCCAAAATAATATACAATATTAATTAAGATAATATAAATATGACAATTTGAAACTAAATAATTACCATTTACCAAAATTAATATATAATATTAATTAAGGCAAATACTAATATGGTAAAATAAATACTAATAATAATGATAATTACCTTAATGACGCAAACTTATCTTAATGCACTTGCGTCTTCTTTAGAAATTCAACACAATGGTTTGGTAACCTCTCCTTAGCCGTTCATCTAAGGCAACGAAGAGTTGGCCATCTGGACGGCTCTGTCCTGAGAAGAATTGACAAACTGAAGTCTGAACGAAGCCACATGCACCTTCGCCGGACAGTAACTTCAAGTAGCGCCCCACGGTGATGCTCATTATATTGATTGGATTAGCCAGAAGCCATGCAGCGCCAAAAAGCTGCAATTCGCACCGTCCCTGCATTTTTCCTTATGTAGCTTTGTTTCTCCGGCCATCAAGGACGGTGCTACATGTAGTGCCCAACAACACTCACCAACAATTGTGGTTCCCAAGTTCCCAAAATTGGTAAATAAGCTCAAATTTTCATATATAATTAATCAAAAAATATATATATGATACTCATAGATTCAAAAGGAAATATATATATACACGACACAGTATACACATGTGTACACAGGCATAATATATTTCAATCTAATTTTGTGCTTAATATGGATTTAAATTCCAACATACAAACATATACAAACTCGATGTATATATAAAAATTAATGTTGATTAAGGCAATAATAATCAACTAGGCAGAGATTATAAAGGCTCTGAAACCAAATGTTAGATATACAATAGTCTAACTATATGAACCATAGTATACGAGAAACCTAACCTCGTATGATAGCAGAAGCGTAGCCGTGTTGATCTCCAGCCATAGTTGATGTTCCTGTTGTGTTGCCTCTTAACGGTAGACCGTCAGCCATGTTTTGTCTCAGACCTGACTCAGAACCCTAGATGGCGTATTGGTATCTACTGAGCGGTCTGAGTACCGTAACTGAATGTGCTATCTAATCCATAATCCTATATCCCATCAATCCAGGTTATATTAGGCACAGAGTTTGGTTGACTAACAACTACTAGTTATTAAGTCCAACCAGACCACTTAATAAACCTAGTCAACTTGCACCACTTAATTAAGGCCCTAATATATAATATACAATATATATTATAAGGGAAAATCTTACAAAAATAAGTCTAACTGCAAATAAATCCATAATTTTATCCACAATGTGCTTACAACTCATTTAATTTGGTAAGGTTGTTGAGGTTGTCTGGTATAGAACCATTTAGAAAATTTGAATCCAGTCTTCTGTTTTGAACACAACATTCAGTGGACAATAATAATGTCAAAAGCTGAGGAAAGCCTACACAAGTGTATCATTTGCAGCTAAGGTGGAGATCCTCACACAACATTTAAAGTTTGCACAAGTCCTAGAGTTTGAGGTATTTCAACACTCAGCTCATTGTGATCAAGAATCCTAATCAGGACAAAAGAGTAGCAATATTCTTCATGATAGTATATACGTATGTATCCTCAATCAAAATGCATCCATAAACACTTCAATACTCCATTCTAGTTGGGTGTACCATAAGCCGTATCTAGTTTTGGGAACATATATAAAATAATGTCTTGCTTATCTGGCACATATACTTACACATGTTTTAGCATCATGTAAGGATTGAAGAGTTTTGGAGGGATGGTGCCAGAGAGTTGATTCTTGGCTAAATGGCTGCATGAGAAGTATAGCCAACCTTAATATAATTACTACAAAGATAAGAAAAAGACAAAAGACCTTATTATATCATAAACTTACAAGTTTTTGACACTAAATAACTGGTCCAAACCAGGTTGCATGTGATTAGATCAGAGACTGGGATAGTACCAGTAAGTTTATTGTTGCTCAAACATAACCATGAAAGCTTAGACAAGTTGCCTATAGAATTTGGGATTGACCCATTGAAGCTGTTAGAAGTTAGAGATCTGCACAAAGGCAGTAAAAAATAAATAAAAAAAATTCAGTAAGTAAAATGAGAATAGGGTTCAAGAAAACTATTAAACATGTCATTTTAAAACTTAATTGAAAAACATAACAAAACATGTGATCCCAATACTTAGTAGTGTTGGAGAAAATGAAAAGATCCTTTGAACTAATATTCACATGTATAATCAGTTCCACTCCCACTCTTAGTGCCAAGCTCATCATCTATGTTGACATCACTAAGTCAATAATAGATATGATGACAAACTAATCAAAATTAGGAAATGTATAGTTACCAATTGGGAGATATGGTGCATAACAAATTCCACATTCAGACTGCTGTTCACTCTTCTGTTCATCAGGAGGACCAGGTAATTGAATTTTCAATAAATTGACAAGATTTTCAGCAAATGGTTTGTCTTCAATCCTATTCAAAAGTTCAACTCCGGTTGATGGAACTAATTCATACACTTCAAGTATCATCAATTTTATTAAAATATGCATAACAGACATGAAAAAGATGATACTCAGAAACCAGAATGGACTTATGAATAAACTTATATACCATCTTTGGCAATTTCTCCTCCACATTCCATGCAGTATGTTCACCTCTGAATCTGAACCAATAAAGTGGCACCTACCAGCAATCCAAAATTCAATTCTATATATTTTGCACCACACCAATGCAGTAAAGAAATTTTTTAGAGAAAACCTACTCTGGCAGGGCTTTTGGGTCATCCGGATCTATAGACAAGATGATATAGCAATCATTACCTACAAAAAGAAGCAAAGTTAGAAAGATGTGGAATAGCTATAAGTGACTTCATCCTTTTAAGCCTCCATGTTTTAAAAAATATATACCTATATCTATTTGGCGATGTGATGTACCAAGCCGTGGATGTTTAGGATCAAAAACCCGAAGAGAGCTGTCAATTTCATCCATTGTAGACCAAAAGGGTTGAAGCTTATCCAGATGCTGAATGCATTATTAATAGAGTTTTCATTGCGATTTTCGTTAACTTTGTGGAGTTTTCCTTTTCTGCAGGGATCAAAGGTGAATATGATCATCACAGATTATTGCATGCCAGAAATGACAGGCTATGAGCTGCTCAAGAAAATCAAGGTAGTTTACTGATGAACTGTTGGTTTAATATTGTTGTTTTTTTTTTTTCTGATCATAAACCTTAACATCTAAGCATCCAATGATATTGTTGAAACCAGGAATCTTCTAACATGAAGGACATCCCTGTTGTGATAATGTCATCTGAGAACATTCCAACTCGGATCAACCAGTGAGTACTGTAAACTTCAAAGTTCAGTTATAATTTGGTCATTTTGATGCCATGAAATGTTTCTAACTGGGAAAGTATGCAGATGCTTGGAGGAAGGAGCCCAGATGTTCATGCTAAAGCCACTCAAACACGCGGATGTGAAGCGATTAAGAGGCCAATTGATGCAGTGCTGAGGATAATAAAGATCAAAACATCATTGATCTGATAAACACTCTTTAATGTTTTTGCCTCTTTTGCTTTTGCCTCTTTTAGTGAACGAAAAGTTCAGAAATAAACACAGAGTAAATAAGTAAAGGAAATTATCACCTTAACATGATACATAATATAATAATATATACTAACTTGCTTCTCAAACTCCACAACTCTTGGCTTCAGCTTCCCTAAATCTCTCCTCAGCAACCCTAAGCTGTACAAAAAAGTTCAGTGTTAGAATTAAGGACAGAAGATGAAAGACTCGGCAGATTTTCTTAAACAATTTGCAATTTCAATTCCAAACCAATTAGAACACTTCATTGCCTGAGTATTTTCCACAACAAGACTTAAGCAGCTGCTGCCACCATACCCATTGCTTTCTTCCTCTTTACCCACCATTTCTACATCAAGCAAGTCCTAATTCCTGAAGTTGTCCACTATACATGCTTGGAAGAATAAATATATTCCGACTAGAGAGAAACACCAATTTGCACAATTTGAGATATTCAATTTCTCTAAATATTCACGGAAAAGAACCCATTTTTCAAATTCACTATTGACGAAGATAAAATTCCAACATTCAAGACATAGTGGATATAAAAATTTCATCTCCAAATTAAAAAAATAAATCAAGCGAAAAACTTATGCTTCACTTCTTCTCTAATTGAATTGGAAAATATAAACATAAAACTGTAAGCATGTTTGTATATGTAGAGAGAAACAGTAGTTCACCTTGGTGTGCAGAGCCTGAGTTGAACCCTATGTAACAGCCTTGGAAGGAAGCAAAAAGAGAAGAAAGGGTAGAAAGAAAGGTGAGCAGATTGGAGTGCCGGAAATGACGTCGTTGGATGCGGCAGTTACAGTTGGTTGAAGAAAGGGGCGAATACGACGTCGTTTTGCAATGACCGTTGGCCGTTGGTTTAAAGGTGTCGGACGACACCGTTTTTAAGACTTCCAATTTTCAGAATAATAATTGTTTTCTTTTGTTTTCCTTTCAGTTGAGTTTGTTAGGGAATTTGTGGGATGATGGGCTTGTGAGCACTCTTATTACCAGGGAGTGTGGAGTAATTGTCCTTATGCAGAAATTAATCAAAGAAATTCTTTTTCTCTTCTCTCTTCTTCCCTTCTAAACCCTATCCCTCCTCTCTTTCTCTGTTACTGTGTGTTGAGTAGTGAAGGCCATTACAGCGTGGTATCAGAGCTCGTGATCATGGATGAGCGCTTGAAAATGGTAGAAACTCAGGTGGCTAAGCTTAAGGGACTCATGGAAGCTCAGTCACAAGCCAACTCTGACCAGATTAATGCTCATCTCGGAAGCTTCCGGGAGGAAATTCTAGCTATTCTTCGTCTGAATCTACCCCAGGTACCAATCCTGGATAGATCCCCAGGACAATCTTCAGTGCAAGGCGTCGCGAATGATGGACACATACACCCCCTGCAACCAGGAGAAGCTAGTGTAGATCCTGGAAGGCGAATGGGTAAAGCACCAATGGAGGCGGAGCAGGAAGAGGATCCAGTGGAGATCCCTGAGAGAGACTGGGCTCATAGGAGGCCTCAGCAGGTGGACTTTTATCCAAGGTATAAAGCTGATTTTCCCCCGTTTGATTACGAACACCCCAGAAACTGGATAGTGAGGTGTGAGAGGTTCTTCATGGTCTCTCACATCCCCAGAAATGAAATCATGAATATCTTGTTTGTTAATCTATCTGGGAGGGTAGCAGTATGGTATGAAGGGTATGTGAGGGAGCTTAGGCAAGGGTTCCAATGGCAACCTTTTGCTGAGGCTGTGTGCAGAAGGTTTGGGAGCAGTGGGGCTTCCTTAATGGAGGACTTTGCTAACCTGAAACAGTGGGGGTCAGTGGATGATTTTGCGGATAAGTATGAAGAATTTAGAAGCCAGTTACTGCAGGAATATCCGGGTCTTACAGAGGCCTATTTCATGGAAAACTTCATAGCAAGGTTGAAGCAATCCCTGAGGTGTTTTGTTAGGACTGCAAAACCAGACTCACTGGGGGATGCAGTTTGGGTAGCTAGACAGTTTGAAAAAGGATTGAGGATCAGTGACACACATAAATCAGCCTCTTGGAGCCCTAAACCAACCCTTAAACCCAGATCCCATAATAACCAACCCACTGAACCTAGCCCTCCAATCCACCACCCTAAACCCACCAACCCCAGACCTAAACAGATTTAAGGCTCAACTTAGGGACCAAAGAAGTTGTTTTAAGTGCTTTGAGAGCTGGCAGCCAGACCACAGATGTAAGGGTCCCACCTTTAACTTAATAGAAGGAGATGAATGCCATGATGAGCTTGAGATGCTAGATCTAACAGAGGAGGGGACAGCCAGTGAAGAAGCAGAAGTGACCCTCTGTGCAGTAGTAGGAGGTGATGGCATGAACACAATTAAACTGTTGGGAATGATTCAGAAGCATAAGGTGGTGATCTTAGTGGATAGTGGGAGCACTCACAGCTTCTTGGACCCAAGAGTGCTTGATCAATTGAGAAGGAAGCCTGTGAAAGTGAAACCCCTAGTGGTGACTGTTGCCAATGGAGAACAAGTGAGTTGTGATACAGCCTGCTTTGGGCTAAGTTGGGAGGTCCAAGGAGAGGAGTTTACAAGGAATTTCAGATTACTCAAGCTTGGGGGCTGTGATATGGTCTTGGGGATGGACTGGGTGGACCAATATGCTCCCATACAACTTCATACCAGGCCACCTGGTATATCATTTCACAAGGATAGCAGGAAAATCACCTTAAGAGGTTTGACTAAGAAAATTATGCTCAAGGGGGGCACTGACAGACAAGTAAAGAAGTGGTGCAAGAAGGGTGTGCAGGGGTTTCTGGTGCAATGTATAGCCAATTCTATAACCCCCAACCAGCTTAACCAATACCCCACATTACCCTTAACCCTTAAAAACCATTCAACCATCCCTGAGCTCTCCAAAATATTGCAGGAATTTTGGGAGGTGTTTTCAGAACCTACTGCCTTGCCCCCTCCAAGACTGCTTGACCACACCATTCCCCTCATTCCAGGAGCCAAGCCTGTCAACATAGGACCATACAGATACTCTTATGATCAGAAGAATGCCATTGAAAAGATGGTAGAAGAAATGTTATCCACTGGGGTCATAGTACCCAGCTCTTCATGTTTTGCTTCACCTGTCTTACTGGTGCCAAAGAAGGATAATTCCTGGAGGTTTTGTGTGGATTACAGAGCTCTTAACAACCTCACCATCAAGAATAAATTTCCCATTCCACTAGTAGAGGATTTATTTTCTGAATTGGCAGGTGCCGGATGTTTCTCAAAGTTAGATTTGAGGTCAGGATACCACCAAGTGAGGATGAGGGCAGGAGAAGAACACAAGACTGCTTTTAGGACTCACCAAGGACTTTATGAGTTTAAGGTGATGCCCTTTGGATTGACTAATGCACCTGCAACCTCCCAAGCTCTGATGAACCAAGTATTCAGCTCCTTACTCAGAAAATCAGTGTTAGTTTTCTTTGATGATATACTGATTTACAGTGACAACTGGGAGGCACACTGGGAACATTTGAGAAGGGTCTTGCAGATTATGAGGGACAATCAATTACTGGCTAATTTGAGCAAATGTTCTTTTGCCAAGGATCAGGTGGAGTACTTAGGGCATATAATCTCTAAGGAAGGATTGAAAACTGACCCTAAGAAGCTGGAAGCTGTGGCTGCATGGCCTAGAACTTCTTCTGTTAAGGCATTGAGAGGATTTCTGGGCTTAGCAGGGTATTATAGAAGATTCATAAGATCCTATGGGGTGATTAGCAGGCCCCTAACCACACTGCTTAAGAAGAATGGATTTGTATGGAATGAAGAAGCTAACAGGGCTTTTGAACAACTGAAGCAAGCTCTGTGCAGTGCACCAGTTCTAGCTCTCCCCAATTTCCAAAAGGAATTTGTTGTTGAAGCTGATGCCAGTTCTAAGGGAATGGGGGCAGTGCTGTTGCAGGAAGGGAAACCTATTGCCTACTTTAGCAAGGCTTTTGGTGAAAAACACATGGGGTTGTCCATCTATGAGAAGGAATATTGGTCTATTATAAATGCTATTGAGAGATGGAGGTCTTATTTAATGGGGAGACATTTCACTATTGTCACTGACTACCATAGCCTGAAATTTCTTCTAGAACAGAAGATCACCACAGCTGTTCAACAAAGGGGCTTAGCCAAGCTTTTTGGGTTAGACTACACTATCAAATACAAGAAGGGGACTGAAAATTGTGTGGCAGATGCTCTTTCCAGGCAGATGGAGGAAGGGGAACCTGAATTACAAACTATTTCAGTGGTGCAACCTAAATGGATGGATGAGGTGGGGAGAAGTTATGAAGGGGATACATGGGCTACTGAGACCCTAGAAACCTGCCTTATTGATCCTACAACAATTGCCAATGTAACCATCACAGGGGGAATTATAAGATATAAACAGAGAATATATGTGGGTACCTCAGGAGGTCTTAGGAGGAAGCTAATCTTGCAGCTGCATGAGTCCTCCTTGGGGGGCCATTCTGGTCAACAAGGCACTTACCAAAGGATGAAACAACTATTTTACTGGATAGGAATGAAAAAAGATGTGATGGAGCTAGTAAAGGAGTGTGATGTGTGTCAAAGGTGCAAACATGAGAACACAGCCTATCCGGGGCTCTTGCAGCCCCTAGCCATTCCAGAAGAAGCATGGTCTAGTATATCTATGGACTTCATAGAAGGACTACCTAGGTCCAACAACAAAGAAGTGATCTTGGTGGTAATGGATAGATTAACAAAATATGGTCATTTTATAGCTATATCCCATCCCTTCACTGCTGAAAATATTGCTGATGTGTTTATGGAGAGTGTTTACAGGCTACATGGACTCCCTAAGGACATTGTGTCTGATAGGGATAAAATTTTTACAAGTACATTTTGGCAGTCCCTATTCAAGAAGGCTGGAGTCAAGTTGAGTTTATCCACTGCCTATCACCCTCAGTCAGATGGTCAGACTGAGAGAGTCAACAAATGTGTGGAGTCCTATCTCAGATGCATGGTTTTCCAGAAACCCAAGGCATGGGCTAAATGGCTTCACTTGGCAGAGTTTTGGTACAACACTAATTACCACACTTCCCTCAAATGCACTCCCTTTCAGGCTTTATATGGATACAACCCTCCTACACTGGCTGCTAGACTTACCTCTAGG